CCCCAAGTCAATGGGGATGGGCTCCCTAGGCTGCAGGGGAGTGTCGACCCCTCCACCTTCCACCAAGGGGAGACAGGATCACACAGGGCAGGGCGATAGGATGCAAACAGCCCTCTGGTCTCACCCGTGCTGGCTGGTGGGGTGACCTTGAGGCACAGCAGGAGCCGAGCTGCCTGAGCAGTCATTTGAGGCTGGTGCGGGGTCCCAGCATCAGGGATGATGGGTCTCCTTTTGCTCTAAGTCCTCTAGGGGAGCAGCAGTCCTGTCCTACCTTTCTCCAGGGGGGATGGCCTAGTCGCCCCCGTTTCTGTACACAGGTTGAAGACTAGGGGGCATGGAGCCCTCCTTGCTGATGTCCCTAAATCCCAGCTAGAGGGAGGGGTCCTGTGATCTGATCCCCACTTCACCTCCCTTCCAGCAGATGAAGGGAAGGATGGCAAGTGGTTGTCATGACAATGACAGGGGAAGATGCTGGGGGGGGCACTTACGATGGTGAGGATTCCTGCAAAGAGTGCCCCGTGCAGTGGGGATTTAAAGGGCCAGTTTGTCTTGCATTAGTGCCACACACAACCAAGGACTTTTTGACTCCAGTGCCCATCCCAGGGGAGCTAGTTGGTGTGGGTGTGTGTGCTGGGGGTAGGAAAAGCTGCAAAGGTGCCTTAAGGTAGGTGCTGGGCCTGTCTGATGCCTGCAGCTTCCTCAGTGCAGAATGGACTGGACTGATGGACACACACCCAGGCCTCATGGACTTTGCTCCTTGGCCAGAGTTAATTCATCAGCTGCCAAAGGCCCATCCACCCTCCTCCTCTTTGGGGTCCCCTGTCCCCCACCCCCAGAGATGTGCCTGTCTGGGATTTTTGGCTCAGACTGCCTACCCTATCCTCACACCCATCTACCCCTGAAGCTGGGGGAGGGAAGCTTGGGTCAAAATCATTGTAACCTGATGGATGGCTTCAGATGTGGGTCCTAGTCCAAAGTCTGCCCCCGCCCCAGGTGAATGGTGGGGAATAGGGCTGCTTGGCTGCAGGGTGAAGTGATGGAGCAGGGGATGGGTTTGGGAAAGGGTGAGAAGGGGAGGAAGACTCTTTAGAGCAGTGGGGCATTTTTAGTCCAAGCCAGGGTGTGTCAGAGTGGTTTGGGGATGAGTGCTGTATGGGTGGGGATTTTCAGGAGCCTGCAACTCAGGCTGATTCATGCAACCCTAGGCCTGGGGACAGGCCTTCCCAGCTGTACCCAGCAGAGGGCAGTATGAGCTCATGATCCATCATACCCCAGGGAGGAGCAGCCCCTTGGCATGCTCCTCTCCTCCCCGCTCCAGGGGTGCTGCAATGTTCATTGCAGAGCAAACCCCACCAGATGAGAAAGGAGACAGCCCTGCCTCTCTATCTGGCTCCCAAGGGTGCCTAGCGCACAGTAGGCTGCCATGGGATACATGCATCTTCCAACAGCTATCCCAACAGGGAATAGGGGAGCCTCAAATGGGATACTACCTAGATCAATCAGGGTGCAGGACTCAGCTGAGATTTGGATTAGAGGGATGTTGTACAGGGCCCCCCAAACAATATTAAAGTGGAGACCCTTGCCAGCTTCTGTTTTGTGGGGGGCTGCTGGGCATTGGGGAATACAGGGGCCACAGGTGTGTGGGGCCGACTCCTGTGCTATCTGAGTGTTGAGCGTGTGTATGTGGGAGGGAGAGGGTTAGGGGGGCTGTGGCATCTGGAGCTGTGCTGCCCTCTGGTGAATGCTCTGTGCAGAGATGTGCACTTCCTTCAAGGAGAGGTCTGTTCAGGTCACTCCTGGGAAAATTCAGAGGGGGCTAGTACTGCCCAGTCCTGCAGCTGAGTGAACTGGGGCAGGACCCATGGAATCAGAGGGCCCAGAGGCAGCTGCAAACCCAAAGGCAGAGCAGCAGGGGGCAGCCCAGCTGCCTTAGCCAGAGAGTTGGAGAATGGGGCTGGATTGGGAGGTGTGGGGGCTTTTAGCAGTACTCCATTCTTGTTGTCCTCCAGCTAGGGCCTCAGGGCCTGGGAGAGCTGTTGGGGTGAATGTGGGGTACTGGTCTGGATAGAGAAGGGTCTCAGCAACACTGGGGGGAGGGGGAAGAGTTGATACCAGAAGGGTTGTGAGTTGGGAGTGAGGGCAATTGATAGAGCCACTGTCGGGCAGGATGCCAGGCGGCTGTGACATCGTTCCAGAGCCCCTAAGACCTCTGCTAAGCTTGGAGCGCTAAACCAAAAAGGCTGGCAGGACCCAGTATACTATGTTCCCTGCCTGGCCCCCTCCCCTGGCCGGAGCAGAGTGCTATAAAGTGACCCTTGGCACAGACCAGCCAGCACCCCCCCCACCACCACCCTACCCACTGGGCTAAATATACCCCGGCAGGTTGCGAATGTCGCACTCTCAGTGTAACCTGAGCCCCATCAGCCCAGCAGCAGGGCAGAGCCGCCCCTGCTGCCCACTCGCACCCAGGGCCCAGCCAGCACCAGCAGCATGGAGACACCCAGCAAAGACCACCGCATTGTCCTGGTGAGCGCCCCACCCCTGTTGCCCCTCTCTATGCCCACCCTGTTGCTTTCCTGCATCCAGGTCTCCATAGGGCTTTGCTGCCATTTGCCTTTCCTCCATGCTCTGTTTCTACCCACCCAACCCCCTCTGGCACTTAGGGAGACCTCCCCAGTACGGGGGTATCCCTCCACTTCTGCCGCCCATGGGGCCCAGCTGGCCTGGCCTTCAGGGGTTTGAGGTAGCTTTTCTGAATGTGACCCAGCTGGCGGGACCCACTAGGAATGTTGTCTGTGAGCCTCGTGTCCCCCAGCCTCCTACCTTACCCCCAACCCTTCGTTCCATTCCCTTGTCCCCCTGCATCCTCCACCACCCCACAGCCTCTCCGATCACCACAACCTCCCTCTCTATCCCTCCCTGCTCTGCTCAGATGGTTTCCTAAAATTACCCTGAGAATGAGCCAGGCCCTGGGGTGGGAAGAGAGAGGGTGTTTCTCTTTCTCGCGCACGCACACACACACACACTCTTTCACTCTCCTCCAGGAGGCTAGGGGTGGCAGCTGTGGGTTGGGGAAGGTCAGGATGGCCTGCAGAGTGGGCAGATGTTGGGAGGGACTCCTGCTTGGGGTGGGACAAGTAGGGTTGGTGTCCTCCCCCAGCCTGGGAGAATGAGCTAACTGGGGCATCACAGTGTGAGTTGTACAGGGGGGATACTGGTGTTTGGGGGCACTGTGTGGGGCACTGTAGAAGGTCTCCTTCTCTCTCAGTTTGTGCTGAACCCCAGTGACCCAGCATGGAGTCAGTGGGTACTAGCAGTGGGGGAGGCTCAGGGTGCCAAGGGGGCACTGAGATTCAGGGTGTAGAAAGAGGGGTTTGTTGGGATGGAGAGGGCTTCCCTTCCACAGTGTGCTCCAATAGCACTTTAATGGGGTGATGTATGTCAAGGGCAGGGTCTGTCCCCACCTCTCCCCTATCCTCCATTACCCTTGAGATTAATGGATAGTGTGCTACAGGACGGGAGCTCAGTGGAGGGTGCTGTCCCCTCCACTGGGGATTCCCAGTGGCTGTCAATGCTGACCTCACTATCCCAGCATGGCGCTAGGAAGGAGAAGGGACTGTCTTTTGATGAGATGTCAGACCAAAGCACTATTGGGCTTTCAAAACTCCTGTTGATTTTGTTCCTGGGTGCTTTGATGCTTCCTGGGTGCTATCTTGCTTCACCGTAGAGGTGACTGCATGTCAGTAGTGTCACACAGCAACAAAGCATGCTGGGAGTCTTGTGGCTTGAAAACTGGGAATATTAATGGCTCCTCCTTGGGGAATTGCCCTCCGGAGCCTGTGCCTCCTCGAGCTGAGCCCAGCTACTTTTCCAGGTGGAGATATCTGATCCCAGATCAGCAGTCAGTTCAGGCTTCAGATTTATGGATGGATGAAATGCAGGAGAATTTGGGACCTCCTGGGATGATTCTACAGTGGGTGGGTTTGGAAAGTACGATGTGGGAAAGGAGCTGGAAGAACCGAGGGAGCAAAATCCATGCATGAGCAAGGGAGGAAATTCTCACCCTTCTATTGACAAGAAGGCAGGCAGAGGTTGTGGTTAGGGAGTGGGGCTGCAAGATCTCTGCTTGAAACCCAGGGTCTGCCACTGACTCTGTGCAGCCTCAGTCAAGTCACTTGGACCTGATTGCCAGGGTCCAGTATTTGTGGTTAGAGTTTTCCAAGGGGCCACACAATTGCAAATCCAGCCCTGAGTTCTGGAAAACCTGACCCTACACTTGCCTCTGTGGCTCAGTGTCCCCCTGGGGTCCTGCCCCTACTTTGGCATTCATTAGTGCATGGTCAGTCCTTGAGTTTTGTAGGGTGGTGAGTAGCTCAAGGCAGCCCTGGTAGCTTTAGTTGCTCCCCACCTTCTACCCCAACTTCCAGTTTTGCCTTCATCTGCTTGGATCTGGCATCTCTGACACTAGCAGATGTTGTCACTGGCAAAGTGCAGGGCATACCTCTTCACCTTTGGGCTGGGTGCCTCTCTGAGCCAGGGCCAGTGGGGAGAGCTCTCTCCTTCCCACTGTAGGTCCCAGCAGGCTCTCACTGGGATGGCAGAGTTTGTCCCACCAGTTGCTCCCCTAGACTACCCTGCTCCCTGAGATCCCTCCAAGATGGGTGGGTGGTTCTTCTCCCCAGTAGCACTCACTCGTTTCCCAGTTCCCCCCACATTTTGCAGTGTTCCGTTTCTTAACGGAACACACACACACACACACACACACACACACACACACACACACACACACACGTACCAACTGGGCCACATGCCGATTCCAGTAATATATGACACTTGCTCAGCACCCAAGCCAATCACGTCCCTGCCCCACGTCACCAGCTCCTGGCTCTCTCCAACTCCTGCCTGCCAGTCCCTGCTGTCCGTCCGAGGCAGGGGAGCTGGGCCGCACTGCCTCAGAGAGATTGTGTCCCCTAGCCTGGGGGCTCCCCTTGTGCTCTTTTCTGGATAGGGCAGGGAGCCTCTAAAACCCACCACTGGGCTCCTACATCCTCCATGCAGCCAGCCTTGCTGGCTACAGCTGTCTCCCCACCTGTGGAAGTCGCCCATTAGCTGCATCTCCCGAAGCCGACGTGCCCCATCTGACTGGGGCCCCTACTCCCAGCTAAGCTGCCCCCTCCTTAACGTCCCCCGGTCCCAGGCAGGATGTATCTGTATGGGCTGGATGACTCGGAAGTGGTGAGTACAATCCAGCCTTGGCTTTGGCCCCCATCGATCTGGACTGACCCTTTTTGGTGGCTGCTAGAGACTCAGGGGAGGGGCACATTGGTTGGTTGCCTGTCTCTAGGGGTGGGTACCTCCTCCTGTTCCCCCACCGCCACCTCCAGCTGGGTCTGGTTGATGTTAGTCCCAGCTTGGAGAGGTCTGTCCATGGCACTCTTATTATAGCACATGGGCTCCACTTGGAGTGGAGGGGAAGGTGGGGTGAGGAGGGTGCTTCAAAGGGGAGTGTCTTCGGAGGCGGGGGCTGAGGGGCCATGCTTCCCTCCCTGTGCTCCTGAGGAGGTTTCTTGAGTCCCAACCAGTTCTGGATGCTAGTGTAGGGTTGATTTCTCCCTGGCTGGGCAAGAGTTGGGAAAGGGGGTCTTATTATCCAATTCCTTAGAGCAGTGCCCCATCCAGATTCCCAGTGGGTTGTGCACTCTGTGCTGGCAGGGGAAGGGGGTCTGGGCTCTCTGCATTGCTCCCTCCTGCTCTATGCTCCCCTCAGTGGGAGATCCTTGCCCCATCTCCCAAGATGTATCTTCAGAGCTTATAAGATACAGTCTCTGCTATATATCAATGTCCCTTGAGAGCCACAGCTTTCTTCCAACCTCTTTGTTCCCAGGAGCCCCATGAGGGGCAGGTTAGCCTCCCAGCTCTGTTAGTCTTTGACTGCCTGCCTGAAGCCCTGCCTGGTGCTGGAGTCCAGCTTCACCAAGCTGGTGTCTCCCAAACAGGAGCAAATTCCGGCTGGGTGGCTCTTTTGTGGTCCTGCTCTTGGCTGGTCAGGTCTCATGCTGCAAGGGGGTGACTTGGATTCTGCTGAAGGTTTGACACAGCTCTGGGGATGGAGAGGGGGGAGAGGTGCTCCCGAGGGAGCTCTGAGAGTAGCACAGCATTGCAACCATCTTGTGCTTTTCCCCATCCCCAGTGACAATTGTTGGCCTCATAGGGTCACGAAGATGTTGGTGTCAGGGAGGGGAGATGTAGGACATTCTTCCCCTGTCTGCCCCAGCAGAAACAGCAGCAGGGATTTAGAACTAAAGTCTGTGATTAAAGGGGAAGACCCCTTCTGTTCCCACAGCCCCATGAAGCTGACTGCCAGCTGGCCATGGGGCAACTCCAGCACAGCCAGTGTGGGTAGATAAACATCCTGCCAGTGGGAATGCCATGCTGAGCTTGAGAGTGAGCTGTCTGTGAGCACTGACATCTGGGGACCTGGGCAGAGGCAGCTGGACTGATGGGGGAATGTGTCTCTGGGCTGGTGCCCCCTCTGGGAGGGGTGAGGGGGTGTCCCGTGTCCTACATGCACATGGAACCATGGGCTTCCTGCTGGTGCCATGAGCTGAGCTGGTCCATGAATGGAATGAGTTTGCTGGTCCTCATGTCCCATTAGGTCCAGAGTCCCAAGTCATCTGGGTTCAGGGCTAGAATAGCTGGGGGAGGGTCATTGTCATGTCAGGGGAGGAGGGGCAGGGGGCAGTGCAGAGGGCATGCTGGTGGGATAGAGGGGTGTTTGGGGAATACTGCAGAGACCTCTCTATACTGGGCCTCTCAGACTACCCCCCCCGCTTTCCTTTGATGCCCTTTCTTTTCTGATCAGATTCTCTGAATGCCTCCCTTTGCCCCCTGCCCAGGCCCTGCCTGGGCTGTACCTGTGAGGCTAGGACAGCCCCAGTCTGCCAGCCCTGCTACCCTCTGAGAATGCTCTTTTCTGGTGCCACACAACCCTGGTGCCTCTGTTGACATCTGCTGCCCACCATGGATTATTCACAGTACCTGCCAGGGCTAGGAAGACCCATCCTTTGTATCCGGGGGCTGAATTCTGGCCTACCCCCACTCCCTGCCTCCTTTTCCCATCTCTGCCCCATGCACACCTCAGGGTGCCTGGAACCACCAGAACTCAGAGGCTCATCCCCCACAAGGGCTATGCACCTCTTCCTTGACCACAGTCCACTCCATGGACTCTTTAAATCTTCCCTCCACTGGATTCCTGGGTCATCCTGCTGCCTTGGGATCACCTGGCTTCATCATGCCTTGCTGCTCTGCCACCCACGCCACCTGGGAGCTGGTACTCCTGGGTTCTGTCTTTAGCTCTGGACAGGGAGTGGGATCTCACAGGTGAGAGTGAGAGGAAAGTCTGGGATCAGGACAACTGTGTTTTACCTCCAGGTCTGGGAAGGGAGAAGAGTCTAGGAAGTAAAACCTGGGAGGGAGAGAAGTGGGGAGAGAATGAGAGGACTCCTGGCTTCTGTTCCCAGCTCCAGTACAGTCCTGGTGTGGAGCTGTCCTGCCCTGTTGTGACTTGCTGTCCTGTCTCTGTACCCAGCTGCTTCACAACCCCTTGAGGGGAGGCAGAGCAGTCTGGGTGCTTAATCAGCTGGGCTGTGCAGGTGGGACCATACTGGGGGTGTGAGACAGTGCAGAGCTCTGACTCCCCCTCTCCTCCATCCCCCACACCCCACCATGGCTCAGAAACTCATTGACCAGTGTAGGGCATTGCTCTTCTGGAGGCTGCATTTGTGGTTCCCAAAGAGCCTCAGACATAGCCTGCACAAACAGACTGACTGAGATATACCACATGATGTTTGGGGAACCCATCCTCCAGGCCAGCTGCAAGGGTCTAGACATGCCCCACTCCATCACCTCCTGGCCTGGGGGGTTGGGGAAAGCCTCTATAGAAGGCAAACTCCATCATTCAGCTCCAGGGGAAGGGAAGGGCAGGGACACCCCCGCCCACCCCCCCACCCCCTGCTCCAGATGGCCCCTGGAATCTCCTCACCCATTCCCCCATCTCCTGAGGCACAGTCTGTTCCTGTTCAGGAGAGCTTCATGTGTGTTTCCAGTCCCCACTTCCCCCATCCCTTTCCCTGCCCATGGTGGAATGTCTGTTTCAAGGTTCCCCCCCACCCCGGCCCCTCCAGCCCCCACATCAGGGCCCTACTTCTTCTGCCAGTGGCATTGCATTCACCAGGTTTAACAAGCCCCCCTGCCTCAGGGAGCCTGAGCCGGGACTGTCTTCCCCTGTCCGTGCTATCACGTTCCATCCCAGAGCTGTGGGAACAGCTGCGTCTGTCCTGGGGAACGGCTTTAACTCTCACAGCACCAGCCTGTCAGAACTGAAGGGGGAACTGAGGCACAGAGACAGACTTCAGGTCACCTGATGCCACACAGGGAGTCAGCAGCTGAGCTGGAAATAGCCACCCCCATCCCACTTCTCACCGGCTTCCCCCCACCAAAAAACCCTAGTCTAGACCCTCCTTCTCTCCCAGATCTGGAAAGAGAAGTCTTGACTCCTACAGCCTTTCTGTAACCACTACCCTAGACCTCACTCCCCTCACAAAGTTGGAGGAAAAGCCTAGAGTCTCATTAGGTCTCCCATTGCTACGGTGCCTGTAGACACAGTGCCCCCGAGGCCTGAGCTGTGCCCTAGTTTCTCTGGCTCAGGCCACAGCAGTTCTGCTCCAGGGGCTGGGCAAGAAAGGAACTGCTGACACAACAGCCCCAGGTGGTTGGTTTCATTCCAGTGCTCCCAGAAGCCATGGCAATGGTCTTGTTACAAACTGTAAGTAGAGGTGGGCTCTAGATGGCAGGGCATTTTGTCTTGGGAAGGGGGCACTGGGATATTGCTCCAGCTCCAGCCTCAGCCCTTGTCCTGTGGCATGGCCACGGGTAAGGTTATGCTCCTGCTGAGCTGTCTGGCCATAGGCCCATCCCCTTCCCTTCCTGGGGATGGGTGTGTGGGAAAGAGAGCTGCAAAGCACACTGCCTCCTCTGACCCTGGTCTGCTCCCCCAGGGCTCTGCGGAGTCCTACACCAGCCGTCCCTCAGACTCGGATGTGTCCCTGGAGGAGGATCGTGAAGCTCTGCACAAGGAGGCTGAGCGCCAGGCCCTGGCACAACTGGAGAAGGCCAAGGTAGGAGCTGAGAAAGGCGGGTGGTGGCCTTGGCTGCTTCTCTGTGAAGCCTGGACTGGCTGGGGGTGGGTAGGAGCCTCTTCCTGTGCCCATGCCATGGGGCATTGGCATGGGAGCTGGGCATGGCATTTGCCCACGCCCAACTCCCCCTGGCCTGACCACCTAGAGAGTTGGGCCAGCTCGTGGCACAGAGATCACAGAGCCATTCACCTCATGCAGGAAGGGCTTGTGCATTAAGACCCAAACTTCGCCCATTCTGTTGGAACCCAAGGGCATTGCATGCACCCTCCTGTCCTCACGCTC